CAGAGCTCTGTTCTAACCTGCATCTGTGGAGTCACCATCAGTGGAGTAGACTGCAGGGCAATGCTTTTGCTGTTTTGTTTTTAAACCTACATAGCCCTCACCATTTCAAGTAAGTTAGACAAATGAAATGCATAAAAAGTAGATGAGGGAAGCAGGTATTAAAATGATTCACTGTGACCTTTACAAAAGGATTTTGTATTTTCCTTTAAGTACTGTTTATCATGATTATATTTTCAAAACAGAGTTACACATGCGGTTACAAACTAGCTATAGCATTGTTTGGTCCACTTAGCGTCTGGTACATTTTCAAATAAATTGCTGACACTTTATAATGATTTCAATTCCACTCTGACCTGGGGTCCACAATGACACGCATCCACTACCAGGGTCTTCTCAATTCCAAGAACTATGTGCTACCAGACTTCTGCCTCTGTGTTACTGACACCTGGTCTACTTTTGCTCATTCACACAGCTTCTCTTACCCAAGTAAAACATGCCCATACTATATCAAATTAAGTATGTCCCATAATGATGTTGGAGTCCTGGTATGACACCGTACAACAGCACTGGGCTGCCAAGTCAGTTTGAACCACAGATATGTGGTTCAAACTCTTCATCCACTCCTCAGAAACCCCATATAGGGGTCCCTATGAGTAGGGAACCAACTGGACAGCTATGGCACTGTAGGACAAGCACTGGACTGATCACCACAAGGTCAGCAGTTCAAACCCACCATAGCTCCTCCACCATAGCTATATACAAGGTCGCTGTGAGTCAGAACCAGTGTAACAGCACTTAACATTAACCACAAGATTTGAGCCCACCAGCTGCTCCATGGGAGAAAGATGTGACTTTCTGTTCCTGCAAAGATTTACAGCCTCAGAAACTATGTAACAGGGTCACTATGAGTTGGAATCGACCTGACAGCACTTAAGAACATACTGATGCCGGAGATTCTGTTTCTAATTTTTCTTAAGTTGCCAAAATTATGGAGTTGATGAAAGATAAAAGGGCATTTGGAATATAAAATCAATACAAAGGACACAGAAATGCCTATCCTGTTTGCTTCTTCTGTTTGCCTCATCAAGTTGACAAGGCAACTCCATTATTTCCATGAGAAGGAAACAGACTGTAGAAACTACTCAAACACACAACCTCACCTGCATTGTTCCCAGTTCCTTTCTGCTTTTTTTCCTTGGCTAGTTGAATGGCTCGGTAATCAGTTCTTGCTGAGCCCCCACTTTCCTGAGACCAAAGAAAAGCGTGTCAGTCACTAGATCTAAACAGCTAAGCAAGGATAGTAGCAAGCGAATACTGAAATGTAGAAGTCTACTTTTTAAACACAGGAGAGCTCCAAGCATCATTCTACAATCTCCAGCAAAGGCATACGATGACTCAGATGCCACATCCAATTAGTGAGAGTTAAGCAAACTCATGAGTTGGAATAATCTGTATCATTTTATTGTTCAGAGAAGCAAAGTTTATTCCTCTAGTCTAAAACATACTAAAATATTTTACACAGAAACATTAATAAAACTACAAACTTCTCTGTTTTCTGAAATGAATAACCAGCCTTCCGCTGGTAACTTAGGATTAATTTACTGTAACACTTCCCAACATTTTCCAAAATATGCACACTATTCATACAGTAGAATGGACAAGTCTTGTTTTACTATACTCAAAGTCACATCCACCAAAGCAATAATTAAGCTACTGAATTCAACAAGTTTACTGAGGGAGCCAGACAAATAGTATTCAAAAAGACTTAAACTGCTACAAATCTATGAATGTTTTGTAAGAAAAATGGCTTAATAATTCATCACTATAAAAAAGTAAAGGCAAAAAGAACCACCCTCAGCAGCTTATGGCATACCTGAAACCCATTCACCCACACCATTTGTACTCAGAGAAGCGAGGCTGCCCAAGGTCACACAGCTAGCAAGACAATGAACAAGGGATTAGGATCCAGGTCTTGCTAGTTCCTCCTGCCTCTACCCAACAGCTCCAATTCTGGAGATGGAGTGGGCCATGAGAGAAGGACCAAGACACCAAGCTCCTGCACGTGGGGACTGAATTGCCTCCTTACCTCTGAACTGCAGTCTCTTTCCCAATCCCTGCCCATTATCTGTCCACTGAGCAATTGTGGCAACCAAAGTGAATGCTAGGAAGTACGGCTAAGAGAGAGGCACACCAGAAAAGGAGACACACAGAGACCACACTTCTTTCAAACTCAAAGAAAGCTGGCTGTATGCTAGAGCAGTTAGTAGGTCCCCTCAAGATTCTAACTTAAAAAGATGCAACCTTTTTGCACAATATAAATACCACCATCAAATTTAACCTGTGCCACAAAGAAAAAAAAACTATCTGATCATTCCCATATGAGACTGAAGAAAAAGACTTTTCTAAGAGTCTTTATATTAAATGTACAACTAATATAAATATCAATAGAGTATATCAAATGTCCAGCCTCAAAGTTAGATTAGTACTTTTATAATCCTTCAGGAATGATGGTTCAGAAACCACTATTTTTTTTTCTTTCTTTTCTTACTGATCCTAATTTTTTAAAAAGCATTTATCATGGTTTTAAAGTTTCCTTTAGCCTTTTAAGATATAAACAGTTTAGATCATGATTCCTTCTCCTCCGGTCATTAGTAAATCTAAGGTCATTCTATTATGTGAGAAGCACAAAGGCAAACAATTTCAATTCGATTAAATACCCATTCTTCTTCAAGAATAGATCATAGAATCCTACAGGACCTTGGATTATCAACTAGCCAAACACCCTCCCAATTTCCCATCTTAGAAATAAGTGAGAACTTAAGGCTAAGATTTAAGTTTTAAGATTTAAGATTTCATGCTCAAGGCCGTGAAAACTAGTCAGTTCCAGATTCCAGATCAAAATTCACATTTCCAGACTTGTAGGCCAGGGCTTTGTCTTCTTTTGTAAACCAGTACGGAATGTCTGCATACACCTGGTTAATCCAGAACCTCCTCAAAATGGAGTGTAACAGGAGTGAGCTAAGTGGTGGTGACTGAACAGAGCACTTCATACCAGATACAAGTTGCCGGGCACGTCACTGAAGTCCGTGTCTTTCTGAGCACAGCAGTTCTCCGCTGGGTTGGAGAGCACAGACTGGGTCGCCACTTTGCCTCTTTCCTGCAGTTCAACATCTGGGCCAGGAGGCCAGTTCTGCTCCACTTTGATTGGAACCAGAAGTTCTGGGGCTTCGTGGTTTCCATTGGGGCTATTTGAAGGGGTTGGTATGGCTACGTTCAATCCTGAATGGTGGCTAGAGGTCAAAGCCTGTGGGTCTTGACTCAAATTCTTCATAGGCAGAGACACCAGACAACCTAATGATTCTGTGCTTACAGTTTGCACATCATCTGGATTTAAGTTGCTCTGCTGAAGAACTGTGCCTGTTGATGCAAGCATGAGAGGGCTGTCCAGACTGGGATGAATGTCACTGTTGGCCACCAGGACCAATGGGTCCATCTGCCCCAAGGAATTGTTAACAGGCAGGTCCCCTCCCAGAGATGAGCTCACAGAAGAAACATCAATTGTTAGGATGCCAGAGTTCACCAATGCCATGTCTGATGCAACTGCTGAACTATTACTATCACCAGATGCATTAGAGAAGAGAGACACCAGGTCTATATTATTGAGCTCACTTTGTCCTGGGCTGGTAAGTTCATTGCTGGGCATAAGAGAACTTGCCGCTTCTAGTTGAGCTAAGAGATCTGAAAAAGGAATAAAATTTCCCAGTTATTTTATGACCTCAGAAGACAGAGAAATTTTGTCTATACTTAAGATGTTAGCAAGTGATCCATCAAATCAGCATTTTCTGTCTCCTACATGTACCCTGGTGCTTAGTAAAGACTGACTGGGACTCCCCGCTCAGCACATTACACAAAACTAAAGAAACAGAAAGTTCAATTGGGTGTTTTTGACATGCAGTGTTTCTCAAAGTCTCATGCAGATGGGGATTCTTCCAGATAGGGGAAAGGACTCAAAAGAAAGTAACTTTTCAAAAATCACATAAAGTGATAACATTATGTGGCAAGATCTGAATCCATCAAAGCTTGTTCTCCTTCTTCTATACCACAGCACCTACCCCTTGGAAGAATATAAAAGTTTCCAAGGAGCACACACTACAAAAGAAGTTGGTGACAAGCTCAACTCTGGCTCTGCGTAGACTGGCTCATAAAGCTCTTCAGCCTCAACTTACAGCAAGCTGCCATTCCAAAACTGACTTGAATCATCTGGAGGTGACTAAGGAGGTGACTAACAGGAACAAAACAGTTCTGTCTGGTCTCAACCTGGGCAGCTGCAAAGTTCTAACTAGAAACACAGAACTCGGGCATTAGGCTCACTCCACTGCCCTGGACATGTGTTCAGTTAATGAAGTTTTTCCTGCTGAGCTCCTCACACCAAAGACCACCCACTCCACCCTTTATGATAACCCTCCCTCAATACTTTTTTATTTCCAAACTCAAGTACCCTCTCCCTTCCTTCCTCCTGCCCACTCAAGCAGACCTATCTCTACCCTCAGTCCCTAGCATAGAGCCTGGCCTATAAGCAGCATTTAATGAGTATAGTAGAAATAATTCTTATAGACCATCCTTTTCATATGGAGTCTTAAATTTTGGCCAGCACATTCTTCAGGATTTGTTATTCAGTTTAGTAAATGAAATAATCAGAACACCCTTGGGAGAACAATGAATATTCACATATGTCAAAAACATTCCTGTCACTGCTCAGCATAATGAATACTCCGCTGGATCACACATACAGGCAATACATCAATCATATCGGAGGCATCTTTTTAAGCACCATGAATCAGAGCTAAAGAGTCAAAGAAAGCCGCCACATTGGTCTTTTCCAAGAATTCTATAGCTGTAACTATTACACTTTTAGTGCAGCTTGTGAGTAAAAGAAATCTACTTGAAGCCCACAACAGGAAAAGCCAAATCTAAAATGTATCTTCCCTAGTTGTCATATTAGTTTAATTTTTAAAAAACGATCAACGTACTATCACTTCTTCAATAACTATCTCTTAGTCTCAGTGAAGACATCCCAGGGTGATCCTAAGGTTGGTGATTTGAACCCACCAGAAGCTCAGTGGAAGACAGACCTGGTGATCTGATTCTGTGTAGATTCCCTAGAGAGCAGCTCTACTCTAACATACCAGAAGTCTGGGGCTGACTTGATGGAGGCTAACAAATACCAATGAAACATTTTGGGGGTGGGGGTGGGGGAATGGTGTAATCTCTTGAGAAATAAAAAATTCTGCACTAGGCAATTTAATAAGGCTTTTCATTCTAAAAATTATTCTAATTATCTTCCCATCTTAAAGATGGAGAAACTGAGGCTCAAAAGAGATGTCACACAACTAGTGGCACACAACATGGCCACAGTCCCAGGCAGAAGTCTTGCCAACACCTTGACACTGCCTATAATGCAGGTGCAATACGAAAGATGTGGTGACTTGCACACAGGTCTCTGACCACATGTCCACACAACATAGTGTGAGTGCTCTAGTCCCCAGCCTGGAAAATCTGCTACCCAGACTCACACAGAGTCTTGCCTTTGGGACTGTGGACAAGGTCCCAAAGACAAGTTTCTAAGTCCATGGCCACACTGGCGTCTGAGAACCATGCTCCAAAGTCCTGCCCTCTAGATGCATCTGGGCCATTATATTGTTTCCTTTCCCTGCTTTCTCCCCTCCTCAGATTCTTACATCCCCACCAGGGCATATCTTTAAACACGATTCTATTCTGATCTTTAATGGCTTACTGCCTCCTGAGAAAATCAATTTCAATTTCCTCAACAGTCTGAAATCACTGCACAGTATGGCAAGGGGAAGAGGAGACAGATTTGAGGGTCACTGCTTAAGAGAGAATATGACTGGTGAACAGAGGAGTCAAAGAGGACAAATAGGGGACGGACAGGCTGGGGACACAGGACAAAGGTCACAGTGGAAGACACATGCTAAGAAAACCCAAGAAAGTGAAAGACTGAAAATTCTTCAAGGAAAGCACTTTAAAGACATGGTAGGGATTAGAGAGCAGAAGCAGAGACGTGGCAGGGGAGTATACAGAGAGGCCACCAGGCCTGGTAACCATGGGCCATGGGCTGGTAAGATTTTACTACACTAGAATATCCTGAACTAAAAACTAGATAATTTCTGAAATGAGATAAGGTGAGATAACTCTTTTTTGCTTTCTGGTAGAAAACGAACAGGTCAATCATGTCACACCCTAAAAAATTTTAACACAAGACCTTGGCGCAGGTTGTGCTGTTTGACCACGTGAGTCTTCATGCTGTGTTTGGATGTAAATTGTCGATTACAACTGGAGACCGGGCAGCGGCTTTTCGAAGTGTCCACATCCTGGAGGTGCTTCTTAGAGTGAATGTACAGACTACTGCGAGCAGAGAACCGAGCACAGCACCCTGGGAAAAGGAGAATGAATGTGAATCCTGAAGGTTACTATGAAACCAATTATCACAGCAGAACAATTCAGAAAAGGAGGACGAGAAGGGTGGCAAAACTCAACAAATATAATTGTCATTGAAGGTACACAGTAACTGGAGAATCAGTGTATATTTTGCTGTGCATATTTCTCAGCAACAACTAAATAAATGCCATTGAAGTCTATAGTCATTTCCTCCTCAGCACAAATCCAAGAGGCAAGCACTGCCAGGCCTTGCCAGCCCGTGAGGGACATATGCCAAATATCCCTAGAAGCAGAATCACAAACACTGAAAACAGAAAGCACACTGCTTTTCGAGGGCAAGAAGCAGTAGTAAAACTCTTAAGGCAATGTATGTTCGACATCAGCCATGTAAGACATATGACCTTGGACAAGAGAACTATGAACGTGTTTCTTCAACAAGAGCTAATGTACGGATCAAGTCATAAATAATATACACCTTATCTCTATTGTGCCATTACTATATAAATAGCCCACCATACACCTGTCACTTCATAGTACAGTGGTGGCTTGTGTGTTGCTGTGATGCTACAAGTTATGCCATGAGTATTTCAAACATCAGCGGGGTCACTCATGGTAGACAGAATAAGCAGAGCTTATAAGCTACATCAGACTAGGAAGCAAGGGTCTGGTGACCTACTTCTGAAAATTGTTGTTGTTGTCAAGTGTCGTCGAGTTGGTTCTGACTCAGTGACTCTGTATAGGGTTTCCAAGGAGCAACTGGTGGATTTGAACCACTGACCTTATGTTTTGAAGTCTAGTGCTTATTTTATAGTGCCACACAAGGAGTGTAATGTTGTTGCTGTTGTTGTTAAGTGCTGCTGAGTCAGTTCCGACCCATAGGGACCCTATATAGGGTTTCTGAGGAGCAGCTGGTGAGCTTGAACTGCCAATCTTGCAGTTCAAATGGCTTTGCAGTCTGGCGCAGTAACCCACAGCACCACACTAGGACTCCACTGTTGTTAGGTGTTGCCTAATCAGTTCCAACTCATAACAACCCAATGTATAACAGAACGAGTCACTGCCTGGTCCTGGCTCCATCCTCACATTCATTGCCATATTCTGAGTCCATTGTTGTAGTCTCTATGTCAGTTAATCTAGTTGAGGGTCTTCCTCTATTTCGTTGACCCTCTACCAAGCATGACGTAGTTTTCAAGGGACTGGTCCCTCTTGCTAACATGTCCAAAGTACAACAAAGACCAAGTCTTGTTATCCTTGCATCTAAGGAGCATTCTGACTGCACTTCTCCTAAGACACATTTATCTTCCCATCTTGGAAGATGAGGAAACCAAGGCTCAAAGAGATGCCACAAAGCTGAAAAATGGCCACACCACCAGGCAGATGTTCTGTCCACACCATGATGCTGCCTGTTCATTCTTCTAGCAGTCCTTTGTTTATTTAATGTTCTTTGCTACCACCATAATTTAAATGCATCAATTCCTTAGTCTTCCTTATTCACTGTCTAGCTTTTGTATGAATATGCTGTGGTTAGGTGCAATTGAGTAGGTTCCAATTCACAAAGACCCTATGTACAACAGAACACGAAACACTGCCATCTTTACCACTGTTGGTATGCATGAACCCACTGCTGCTACCACAAGGAGCCCAGTGGTATAATGGGTCCCGTGTTGCATTGCTAACTACAAGGTCAGCAGTTTGAATCCACCAGCTACTCCATGAGAGAAAGATGAAGTTTTCTGTTTCCATAAAGATTTACAGCCTTGGAAAGCCTACAAGGGGTCACTATGAGTCAGAATCAATGGCAGTGGGTTTAGGTTTGGTTGCTGCCACTGTGTCATTGGGGGTCTTCCACTTTACCAAGCACGATGTCTTTTTCTAGGCACTGGTCCCTCATGACAACATATCCAAAGTGCAAGAGAGAAGTCTCCCCACCCGATCCTCACTTCTAAGGATCCTTCTGGCTATACTTCTTTCAAGACAGATTTGTTTGCTCTCCTATCAGTCCATGAAACTTTCAAATGCTTCAATTCTTCCAGGGTCTGCCTTATTCATTGTCCAACTTTCACATGCATGTGAGGTGATTAAAATTACCACGACGTGGATCAGGAGCACTTTAGTCCTCAAAGTGACATCTTTTCTTTTATCAATTTAAAGAGGTCCTTATGAATCCTTCTCTGTTTCCAACTTTTATATCCCAATCACCAATAATTATTAATGCATCTTGATTGCACATCTGATTAATTTTAGACTGAAGAAGCTGGTGAAAATCTTTAATTTCTTCATCTTTGGCATTAGTGGTTGGTGTGTAAATTTGAATGACAGTTATATTAACTTGTCTTCCTTATAGACATGTGGATATTATCCTATCACTAACAGCACTGTACTTCAAGATACATGATGAAATGTTCTTTGGATGATCAATGTGATGCCACTACGTTTCAATTTGTCATTTCCAGCATAGTACCACATTACTGTCAAATTCAAAATGGCATCTGCCAGTACATTGCAGCTTGACAACACCTAGTATATTCATCTTTATAAGTTCCATTTCATTTTTTGACAACTTCCAATATTCCCAGATTCAGTTTGTATATTCCACATTCCAATTATTAAATAGATGTACATACGCAGCTGTTTCTTCTCATTTTAAGAGTGTCCCATCAGCAAATGAAGGTCCTGAAAGCTTTACTTTATTCACATCATTAAGATCAATTCTAATTTGAGAAGACAGATTTTACCCAGTTGCCGTCCAAGGATTATAGGTACAAGAGCTACATGAAATAATCTACTATAAAATTTTTAAAAAGAGGGGAAAGAAACCTGTGTGGCAATTCTTAAAAAAAAAAAATTAAAATATAGAACTACCATAATACCCAGCAATTCTACTCCTAGGTCTACATACCCAAAAGACTTGAAAGGAGAGACTCAGAGAGATTTGTACACCGATGTTCACTGGGGCACTCATCACAACGGTCCAAGATGGCAAAACCCTCAATGCCCATCAGCAGATGAGTGGATAAACAAAACATGGTATCAAAATGATACCCTACTAGGTCCAGTAGAAGAAATGAAGTCTTGATACATGTTGCAGTATGGGAGGAACTTAAAGACAAGCTGAGCAAAATAAGTCAATACAATAAGGAAGTCACTATATGACCTCACTTATGTATAAAAATATTTTTAAAAGGAAAAGTTTACTAGTGGTTACCAGGGGCAGGAAGGAAAGGAAAAGGTGGGATTACCAGTACGGAAAAATTGCACTGATTACAAGTAGGCTTAAACAGCTAATTTTTGTAATCAATATCAATACACTGTATACCTAAAAAAGTTGAACTGACAAAAGCTATGTGATACATATATTTACAATGACCAAAAAAAAAAAAAGGAAGTAGCTGTTGAACTGATTGTTGTTGTTGTTGTTAAGTGCCATCAAGTTGGTTCCAATTCACAGTGACCCTGTATAGGGTTTCCAAGGAGCAGTTGGTGAGCTTGAACGGCCAACCTTGAGGTTCAAACTGACCTTGTAGTCCATCGTATTAAATGCGGTGCCATAGCAGGGTTGAGCTGATTGTGTACTATCAAATACTTCATGGATTTGGTTTCTTGTTTGATTTAGAATCATGGGACATCCCAGACAAATGATCTAATAACACGCTTGTATGCTGTTGTTGTTAAATGTCATCAAGTCAGTTCCAACTCATGGCAACCCTGTACATGGTTTCCAAGGAGCTGCTGGTGGGTTTGAACCTTGTGGTTCACAGGCCACTGCTGATCCTACAGTACCACACCATGAGTCCAATAGCATGCTTTCTGCCTCTGTTCTACCTCCTAGTTCCATGTGTAGTGTCTGGAGTTTCAAGAGTTTACAAGCGGCCACCCGAAGAACAACAACTGGTGTCTGTTTGCCTAGACCTTTTAATCATTACATTTTATGGCCTCTCTTCACTTGGCACACTTCCTTTAGAATCTGATCCACTTTCATAGTTTAAAGGATTACTCCATGTGCTGCTGGCTTCGCTTTCAGCCCTGACTACTCATCGGAACCTGATAGCAGAATGTCCCACAGCCTTCTGAGCATCTGAACTAGGAAAGTCAGTGGGTACCTAAAATGCAACAATACCTAATACCCCAAACACCTCTTTCTCCAAACTAGCCCACAGGTACTTCTCATCTCACTTTAAGCACTGCTTCACAAGCCCCACCTAGATTCAAATCAATCGCCAAGTACTATGAATTCTAACTCCTAGCTAACCTCTTTCATCTCGCTTCTTTCCCTCCCCGCTGTCAAATCCCAATACAACAACAGTGCCTCCCAATGGTCCTGTTTTCCATCTTGAAAGCAGCTTGAGCTGACACTCGTATGTGCTCACACCACTCTCTGCCGTAAACACTCAGCTGCTTTTGCACCCCAAGGACCTTCAGGAGCTTTCCCATGTGGCTCTGACTTCAACACTCCGACCACGTGTTCCTTATTCTTTGCCCAGGGACACCATTCCCATCTCCTAACACCAGTTGTTGTGCCCCTCCTTTGAACTCCCACAGCATTCTGAATATTACCTGTTTAGCTGTGTATAGCCCTGGCAGAAACTTTGATGAGAGAAGAAAACTGTGTCTTGGTAATGCTACATGTATTATCTTCTTATGGTCTAAGAACTCATCTCATCTTTGTTGTTGTTGTTAGGTGCCATCAAGTTGGTACCGACCCATAGCAACCTTATGCACAGCAGAACGAAACACTGCCCGGTCCTGGGCCAACCTCACTACTGTTGCCATGCTTGAGTCCATCGATGCTGCCACTTGGTCAATCCATCTCGTTGGGAGTTTTCCTCTTTTTCTCTGACCCTCCAACTTACCAAACATCCTTCTCCGGCGACTGGTCGCTCCTGACAATATGTCCAAAGTAGGAGAAACAAAGTTTGGCCATCTTGGCCTCTAAGGAGCACTCTAGCTGCACTTCTTCCAAAACAGATCTATTGGTTCTTTTGGTAGCCCATGGCACTTTCAATATTCTCCGCCAACACCATAACTCAAAAGCATCAATTCTTCTATGGTCTTCCTTCTTCACTGTCCAACTTTTGCACATATATATGAGGTTACTGAAAATACAATGGCTTGGTCAGGCACACCTGTAGTCAAGTTGACATCATTACTCTTCAACACTTTATAAAGGTCTTAGGCAGCACATTTGCCTAATGCAATACATCGTTTGATCTCTTGAATGCTGCTTCTGTGAGTATTGATAGTTGATCCAAGAATGAAGTCCTTGACAACTTCAATCTTTTCTCCGTTGATATGAATGTTGTTTACTGGTCCAGTGGTGAGAATATTTGTTTACTTTACATTGAGATGTAATCCATACTGAAGGCTGTGCTCTTTGATCTTCATCAGAAAATGTTTTAAGTCCTCTTCACTTTCAGCAAGCAAGGTTGTTCATGAGTCTTCCTCCAATCCTGATGCCACGTTTTTCTTCATATAACCCAGCTTCTCAGATTATTTGCTCAGCATACAGGTTGAACAAGCATGGTGAAAGAATACAACCTTGTGACACACCTTTCTTACTTTTAAAACATTCAGAGTTCCCATGCTCTGGTCCAACAACTGCCTCTAGATCCAGGTACAGATTCCTCATAAGCACAATTAAGTGTTCTGGAATACTCATACTTCGCAATGTTGTCCATAAAATCGATCCACAAAATCGAAAGCCTTTGCATAGTCAATAAAGCACAGGTAAACATCTTTCTGATATTCTCTGCTTTCAGCCAAGATCCATCAGACATCAGCAATGATATGCCTCACTCCACGGCCTCTTCTGAATCCAGCTTGAACCTCTGGAAGTTCTGTGTCAATATATGATTGCAGTCATTTCTGTATTACCTTTAGCAAAACTTTACTCGCATGGGATATCATAGAGATTGTCCGATGGTTTCTGCATTCCATTGGGTCACCTCTCTTTGGAATGGGCACAAATATGGATCTCTTCCAATCAGTCGGCCAGATAGTTGTCTTCCAAATTTCTTAGCAGAGATGAGTGAGTGCCTCCTGTGCTTCCTCACTTTCTTGAAAGATTTCAATTTTGATTCCATCAATTCCTGGTGCCTTGTTCTTTGCCAATTCCTTCAATGCACTTTGGACTTCCTTCTTCAGCATCATTGGCTCTTGATCATATGCTACCTCTTGAAATGGATGAACATTGACCATTTCATTTTGGTACAGTGACTCTGTGTATTCTTTCCATCTTCTGTTGATGCTTTCTGCATCATTCAATAATTTGCCCAGAGACTCTTTCAAGCTACGAAAGTTGAGGCTTGAATTTTTCCTTCAGTTCCCTCCAGCTTGAGAAATGCTGAACATGTTCTTCCTTTTTGGTTTTCTGATTCCAGATCTTTGCACATTTGGTTGTAGTATGTGGCTTTATCTTCTCGAGCTGATCTTTGAAATTTTCTGTTCAGCTCTTGGACCTCCTCATTTCTTCCATTTGCTTTTGCATCTCCACGTTGGAGAGCAAGTTTCAGTGTCTCTTCTGGCATCCATTTTGATCTTTTCCTTCTTTCTTGTCTTCTCAATGACATTTTGCTTTCTTCATGTATAATGTTCTTGATGTCATCCCACAACTTTTCTGGTCTTCTGTCATTAGTGTTTAATGTATCAAATCTGTTCTTCAGATGATCTCTAAATTCAGGTGGGATATATTCAAGGTCATATTTTGGCTCTCGTGGACTTGAATTTGCATATGAGTAATTGGATGATCTGTTCCACAGTCTGCCCCTGGCCTTGTTTTCACTGATGATATGGCGCTTTTCCATGTAGTCAATTTGATTTCTATGTATTCCATCTGGTGAGGTCCGTGTTTCTCTGCTATTCATAAGGTTTCAGTGACTAAATATTGGGAAGTAGTTCGTCACTCTTTCTTCCTAGTCTGTCTTTGTCTGGAAACTCTTCTGAAACCTGTCTACCATGGGTGACCCTGCTGGTATTTAAAATACTGGTAGCATAGCTTTCAGAATCATAGCAACTCACAAGGCACCACAGTACGAGAAACTGACACACAAGTGGCGGGTTTTATTATGCCCATTTTCCAGATAAGGAAATTGAGGCCCAGAGAAGAAGCTTGCGTAAGATCACAACTTGGCTAATGGTAATGGTAAGTTTTGCTGAGTTCCTGACCCCTCAAAGTAACTTAGCCCTGCCTCACCAGTGCATCTACAGGCCTAAGCAGGTCCCATGTAAAAAATTCACATACTGCAAATAGATTTTTGTGCACTACATTATGCCGTCAACACTTTAAAGAAAATATTCATCATGTCCTTTTTAAAAAAAATTAGCTTACCTTCACTACTGTCCAACCACAAGTCCCTACTATGTGTCAGATGTCAAAACAGGCATTTTTTCATGTTATTTCATGTAATTTTCACAGTCATCAAACTAAACAGGTAATATAACTAAAGTCAGATATCTAGTTAGTGAAAGAGCGAGGATTCAAAGCCGACGAGTTGATTACCAATCAGCAATCCCAGAGGACAGAGCGGAATTCCCCCAGAGGGTTTCCTACACTGTAATCTTGGGCGCTGGTGTGGCACTGCAGGATAATGGGCTGGACTGCAAGGTCAGTTTGAGCCACAAGGTTGTTGGTTCAAACCCACCAGTCGCTCCTCAGAAACCTTATACAGAGTCACTATGAGTCTTAACCAACTCAACGACACTTTTGGTTAGGCAGCCAAGTGCTTACCTACTGAGCCACCAAGACTACTTTCTAATATACTGAGCTCCCATAGAATAATTAATAAGAAAATTAAATAAAATCTTGTCTTCAAGGGCCTACAACGTAGCTTTAAACGCCATAAGCTCACAACATACGTATCTAAGTAATGGTCTCCATCTACCTTCCACAGGACACTCGAATGGCTTTGTGCCTAGGTGGGTTATGGTGTGGCCTTTCAAATGCTCTGCTCTTGTGAATGATTTGCCACAGCCTTCCACAGAACAGATAAACCTCCGGTCATCATCATGTTTCCTGACAGAAAGGGGAAAAAGGAAAAAAAAAAAAAGGAACAGTGATTATTCACACAACTCAAGGGCACACAGTCTCTCAATTATTTGTATAAAATTGTCAAAGAGAAAAATTAGCAACAAAGATTTCAATTTGATTTTAAAGTTTTTCTTTCCCATGAAACCAAGTAGCATGAAAATTCCTGATCAAATCCTGCCAGTGGCTATTTTCAACCAAAGTTGCTAATCTTTTGAAAGCAGGCTTAACTTAACTTAAATTTCAAAAAGAAATCATGGATACAGGTGGCTGGAAAGCCAGAGACTACCTGATGACCTGCCATCTTTGATCTCAATAAAAATCATTCATCAGCCTCATTGTAACTGACCTACTTCAGCCATTTGCTTTTTAAAAAATAATCAGAATGGTCTCCCTATATGCATAGAGAATAACGGATCAGAATACACCGTATGTTTCCACGGCTTTTGAATTTTGATTAACAAAATTTTGCAAAATATATATGCATTTAAAAATGTTATCAGTACATTTCAAAGCTCTGGTAGTGTAGTGATTACGAGTCAGGCTGCTAACCTCAAGGTCAACTGTTCAAAATGACCAGCTGTTCTTCTGGAGAAAGATGAGGCTTTCTGCTCCCATAAAGATTTACAGCCTCAGAAACTTCTATACAGCGTCATTAGGAGTAGGAACTGACTCCACAACAGTTAACCACCACCACCACCATCTCTAATCTGTTAGACCTCCCTTCCCTCGCCCAAGGGGGCCACCTGCAAGAGAGTCTACTTCCAAGGGGTCACATTGGTATGTGGGGTGGGGTGGGGTGGAGGGATTGCTCTCCCACTGGATCAGAGCATACAATCTGCCCAGGGGTCTTCTAGACTGCTATAAGAGGGAATGATGAGGCTTTCTGCTCCTGTGAAGATTTAAAGCCTTGCAACCCCTACACAGGGTGGCTATGAGTAGGAACTACTCGAGGGCCCTAACAACTAATCTGTGAAAGCAGATTTGCAATTTAGCTTCTAGCCCCACAATTAGAAAGGAGTCCTGGTGTGGCCCTGTGGGTTAATGCACTGGAAAGTAAAGCCGGTTTGAACTGCAAGGTCGGCGGTTCAAGCTCACCAGCCACTCCTTGGAAACCCTACACAAGGTCGCTATGGTAGGAACCGACTCAACAGCACTTAACAACAACAACAACAATTAGAACTGCTACTTTAATGACTAAACTGACCCCAGCACCAGACAAAGAACAGCTGAATGCCAAAGGTATAGATGAGGCTGTTACCATTCTTTAAAACTCCAGATAACAAACTTTCCCAGCTACAGTTCAATGATAAGCATGGAATGATGGTCTTTTCCTAAGTAACATTTTTTTTTTATTAAATAACCCAGGTGTGAGAACTTGAATAAAGCACTCTCTCAAAATCTTAACATAAAACAGAGAGAACAAAAATACCAGCCTCAATGTTATTAAGATTCAGTGAGATACACCAGGAAAGCACTAGCATCTTCTAGACATAGGCTGAGTGCTACAAAGGAGCCGGATCACTATGTGTCTCTCTGTATGACACAAACCAAACCAAACCTACTCACTGCCAGCACATACAGGGCTTCAAGACTGTCAGATAGGTGCAGACAGCCGCATCTTTCTCCTGTGGAGCAGTTGAGGGGTTTGAACTGCTGATCTTGTGGTTCACAGTCCGAGGCTTAACCTAGTGTTCTGATGTGTTTAGGCATGTTCCCTAAGATCAGCAGACAAATTCTCTCAGTAATAACACTAGTCTTAGTCTCAGTAGGGTGCCTTCAAATAAAATGGATATTTTCTGTGCCATGAGAGGTTGGGGGGAGGGGGGATTTTTAAACAAAACTCAAGTGGACATCTTCCCAAGTCACGGAAGCTTTACAAGTTTACAGGAATGCTGCCCCACATAAAACAAGTTTCTAGATGGATCAAGTATTTTAAGGAAGGTTGGGAAGGCCTCACAGATTAATTCAAAGTAGAGAGAGAGATCAGCTCAAAATTACGGCAACTGTTACTATTTTGTTTTTTTGGACTCTTAAGGAGTCATCTTGATTGATTTCCTCGAAGGACACAGGACAATCATATGGGCTCAGTAGGAAGAAGTTTTAAGAAAACTGCAAAGTGCGCTGGTGAAACAGCTGCATCAAGTTTTTTCCATCTTAACAATGGACTCGCTCATTCTTCAACGGTAAGGCCTTAGGGGAATTTCCTTGGGAAACCATACCCCATCCACACTACAGCCTTGATCTTGCACCTACAGGCTTCTTTCTTTTCTGTTCTCCAAACTCAAAGAACATTGAAAGGAATACAGTCTGAGTAGGTAAGGATGTCATTTGGCATGGTATAATTCATCCTTGATTTACAGAGAGCAGCAGTCCAGAAATCAAAGGCACACTGCATTGGAAAAATCTGCTGCAAGAGACCTCTTTAAAAAGTTGAGAACTAAGGTGTGCCTGATGCAAGGCAGGATATTTTCAATCACCTCATATGCATGTGAAAGCTAGACTGTGAATAAGGAAGATTAGAGAATTGATGCATTTGAATTGTGGCACTGGTGAAGAATACTGAAATTACCACGCACTGTCAGAACAACAAACAAGTTCATCTTTGAAGAGTACAGCCCGAATGTCCTTTGATGCAAGATGGTCAAACTTCATCTCACATATTTAGCATATGGAAAAGAAGGTCACTGAAAAAGAAGAAAAGCCTCAAGGACATGGACCGGCACAGTAACTACAAAATGGGCTCAAACACAGAACTGGGCAGTGATGTGTTCTGTTGTACACAAGTTCAGTAGGAACCCACTCAATGGCACCTAACAACAACAAATCAAAGAGGACAGGATTCTTCAGGGGAAGAGTTAGAAATGGAAACAGCTCTCCAAAGTGCACAGACTTTAGATGGAAATGTCTAGAAACACATCCATCTTCACACTTTTGATACTTTTGTTTAAGAGATTTCTATGATATTATAGCAATATGTGAGTACAGATGTATGAACAGACAGGAGTATGCACAGGCATATCATATATACATACAAGTATGTGTGTGCATGCACATGTATCCAAATATATAATAAACCACAGAGGGCAGAGATACGGAACCATCCTAGACATATATAAACACCTGGTTTCAAGAGTTAGGACAACTGTCTTGCGGGACAACTCATTTAATGCCATAAAGTGTATGTTCCACATCTCAGTGTGGTGAGTATTGCCTAGGGATCTTGTGAGTGGCCATCTAATGTACAACTACTGGTATCTTACTCATGTAGAGCAAAAAAGAAAGACGGAAACTAAAGACTCAGAGAAGAAAGTAATTTACAGGCTCAATGTTGCTGTTGTTAAGTGTCATCGAGTCAGTTCCAACTCATAGTGACCCCACATAGGGTTTCCAATGAGTAGCTTGAACTGCCAACCTTGAGATTCAAACTGATTTTGCACTGCAGCACATTAACCAACAGCGCCACAGGCCTAACAGTCCACATGAACCATGGCCTCATCAACCCTGAGACAAGAACAGAATGGTACCCAGCTACTACCAGCGACTGTTCTGATCAGGGACACATTGAGTTGTTGTTGTGTACTGTCAACTCTATCCAAGGTTCCTGCTCACAACAACCCTGTATAGAGTTTCCAAGGAGCAGTTGGTGAGTTTGAACCACTGACCATGCAGTTCAAACTGACCTTGAGTTCGAGCACTTATCCTATGGCACCACACCAGGATTCTGGGGACACATTTGTTCTTGTTGTTAAGTGCTGTCAAGTCGGTTCGGACCCACAGCGACCCTGTATAGGGTTTCCTAGGAGCAGCTGGTGAGCTTGATCCACCAACCTTGCAGTTCAAAGCCACTTTTCAATCCAGCACATTAACCCACAGCATCAAACCAGGACTCCCAGGGACACTATGAGTTCTGTTCTACATTTTCTCCTTTTCTATAAAGAGCCATCTATTAAGTCGTTTGAACCTCACAATCATTGCTATATCTGAACCCACTGTTCCAACCTCTACACCGATCCATGTCATGGAGGAGTCTCCTCTTTTTCACTGATCTACCACTTTAACAATCACGTCTTCTTCCAGGGACTGGTCACTCTTGATAACAAGTCCAAAGACAGCCCTGCCATCCTTGCTTCTAACCAACACTTGTCTGTCAGTATGTTGTACTGTGGTGGCTTACGTGTTGCTGTGATGCTGGAAACTATGTCACCAGTATTGTAAATACCAACAGGGTCATCCATGGTGGACAGGTTTCAAATGGAGCTTCCCAACTAGACAGTCTAGAAAGGAAGACCTGGCACGCTACTTGTAAAAACAATGGCCAATGAAAATAGCAACAGGGAAACTTGAGTACTGAAAATTCAACCAGAACAAAATGAATGAGAATAATGACACATTATAAGAAATGTTGTCAGTTTGAACCACAAGGTTGGTGGTTCAAGCTCACCAGTTGCTCCTTGGAAACCCTCTAGAAGGTCGCTATGGGTCAGAACTGACTCGATAGCACTTAACAACAACAACATAAGAAATGCAACCAATATCATCAAAAAATCTGCATAGAAATTGTTAAATGGGAACCAACTTTAAAGTGCAATCTATCACCTTAAACACAATAAAGTATTTTTTTTTAAAAAGAAAACACTAGCAATCCATAGGTTTGTGCCACTGACAAATCATTCATTTTCAAAACTGATAATATATACCAATATATAAAGATTACCTTTTGTGCCTTAGGAGTTTAGACATGCTGGTGAAGGTCCAACCACAACTATCAGAGTCACAAACAAAAGGTCTTTCACCTTAGAGAAGACAAAAAGACACATTATTTTAACTACAGAAACAAATCTTGTGTCCAAATGCCATTGTATTCTCTAGCTTATTTACCTGTATGACTTCTTAGGTGAATTTTCAGCCTACAGGCTTTGTCGTATTGTTTGCTGCATCCCGGAAAGGAACAAGAGAAGAGTTCTTGCTCCCTGAAATGGGCTCGATTATGGGAGAAGAGGGCACTCACTGTGATAAATGTCTTCTCACAGCCTGAACAAAGGAAAAACAAACTCTGCTCACTGGTATGGCCAAATCATACATCAGTCAGTGCTAGTTACAATGCTTCCTTCAGATGCAGCTCTTAAAAAACATGGCCTTTAATGCTGGCCTTTGCTAACTAAAGCAGGAGTGGCTGATGACAGCCAACAGGCACAGGCGGGCCACCTCTGATCAAGCTGGAGCCTGTGATCAAGAGATAGTCCCCCACCACTGCCATTTACTAGCCAATTTATAGTCCAGATCCTGCACACATCCAAGTATCTCCCATGTCAGTACTGCTCATGATATACCCAAGTAAACCCAGAGCGCCTGCAGTCTGGGGAGGCTCAGCTTTGGAGGGCCACAAACCACTGTAATACAGTACCTCAGGGCTGTACTTGCATTGTACTTAGCTGCCACCACCTCCTAAGCTATATGGCTTCTTTTTCCTTTTAGCCCTTTTGCTGTGGGTTCATCACTTTGTCAAAGGAGAATAATCTTCACTGACTACCTTGCACCGCCTCCATCTTCAATGTCCCAGACTGAGCCACCAATCTAATAGGCCCACTTCACCAATTCTCAGATCCCCCACAACAGCTCTCCTTTGACAAATATTCAGTGCTCAAACAGGGTGAAAATTACTAGGTTGAAAGACAGGTTTTAACAGGTTTCCTCGCTGTAGCTCTTCTCAGAGCCTTTAACAAATTACCACTATGCCTGTAAATCACCAAACAGATATGCAGGGAGGCTTCAAAAATTCTGTGGAGAAATGGAATTAAAAGATACAGTTTTCTTAATAAAAGAAATAATGTATGATTGTTGGGGGGGTTGATCATGGTCTAGAGGGTGGACACATGTTAATGTGGGTGACAGGGAGGTTAGCAAAGGTGAGATGAAGGGAGCAAGGAGAATGCAACAGTAAAAACCTACAGGGGACTCATGCAAGAGTAGAGATCGGGTCCTCCCAGAATTACACAAAGAAGAATGCTCTAAAATTTTATTTGGGAGAGAGGTTATAGCCACTCTCAGGTTTCCACAAGAATGTATGACTCTGATTAAAAAAAGTTTTGAAATCAGTGGCCAGGTACACCACAAGGAAGGATGCACGCAAGAGGCAGTGCACAGGCAAGTGGGAAGGAAGTATTAGCTCCTGTTAATATTTTCATTTCACCCTTTGAAATACCTGTAGATATGATGTATACATTAGGAGAGTAAATACAATTGTTGTTAAGTGTCGGCGAGTCACTTCTGACTGACCCTGCTTCAGTCGTGGCTGGAAGGCTAAAACCCACCTTAAAGTCCACTGCTTATCCTACAGCACCAAACCAGGTCTTCGTGAATGTATACAGTCAAGGCCTGAGGTGCATGCCTGAGTTTGTCATTTTAAACAGATGGGGGTTGGGAGGTCCCCTACCATCTACTCAGCCCTCTGGCACCCTTCCAACTTCACTTCCCACCCCCTACCCCAGACTACATTCTACAAGGGGCTCTGCAGTTTCACTGGCCTGCCTTGCTCTCCACTCTCCTTCCCAGAGTCAATCATCCTCCTGTCTCCTGCTCCTGCTCCAGACTTTGTAGCTTTCCAGTCAGGAATCTTCTCTGCCTCCCCGGAGGAGCACCATTCTGCAGCTTCCACAGAAGCCTGACTGCCCTGGTGTCTTACATCCATCCCCAGGGCTACAGGCAAATACAAGAGTACGAAGACCGGGCAAAGTTCCTATCCACATTGTTGCTGTTGTTGTTAAGTGCCTTCGAGTCGGTTCTGACTCACAGCGACCCAATATAGGGTTTCCGAAGAGCAACTATTGAGTTTGAACCACCGACCTTGAGGTTCAAACCGACCTTGCGGTCCTGCACTTATCCTACAGCGCCACACCGAAAGTCCTTATCCACATTGCTAGGCCTCAATTCCTTCATCTGTAAAAGGACGATATTTTTAAAACCTCACAAAACCATGAAGATTAAAGTTAAGCAAAAGTACATGTGAATTCTGTGTATTTTCTGTAAAAACTCTCTGTTATGGGCTGCTGCAACATGGTAGAGTAGGCAGACAAGCTGAGCAAACCCTCTGAAACAAGGACATGGAAAGTTAAATGAAACGGCTATGGATAGTGATCCTGGAACCCTGAGCATCAGAGAATAGGACTGAGTGCAGACTGGGAGGAAGCTGAGCTGAACTGGTGAGAAAGGAGACAGACTGGTGGGTGCAGTGCAGCCATCTTGAGCTTTTGCAGACAGAGGCCTGGACACACACTGGAGGCTGATAGGGAGTGAGATGGCAAGGAGAGGGACATGGTTATCCCTTGCTCCCCACACCCTCCTGGGGGCCAGGGTGAGACCCGCCCAGAGGTTAACAGCACACCCTCCTGAGCAGCCTCTACTCTGCCTGGGGTCTGGAATCAGGCATAACACCATCTAGTCTACAGGCTCATAAATTTCACCTCATTGATCTTTCATTGCTGCTGTCTGTTTTGGGGCGACAGCAACGGTACCCATACAACCCAGTCACAACTGTGTCCCCCTAAAGCTCCAATCATTGGGCAAGTGACACTTACTCACTGTTTGATACTGGCTGCTGATTACTGTTGGTCAACAAACCCACCCTGAACTTCACTACAAAAGCAGGGAACAGAGTAATGCTAAACAGGGGATGAGTGCCTAAGAGCACACCAACACAGAACCATCAGTTAAATCTAGATACGACAACACCACAATGTCTCCGAGACAATTTCATCTTACATGAAGAACCAAGACAGAGTGGCTCAAACAAATGATCAAAACAGAGTCAGAAAATACATTAGAAATGGTACTGAAACTACCTAATAGGAATTCAAAAGAATTCCTTAGGTACCTTCAACAGATTGAGAGAGTGATTGAGAAAGCTGCAAATGAAAGATAGGAAAACAAACTTTAGAAGAAGTCAAGAAAACTAGAACAAACTGACAAAATAAATTAAAAACCAGAAACCATACAAAAACATCAAATATAAATCCAGAAGATTAATACTACAATTTTAGAAATAGGTAATACATTGAAAAGGCAAAGAAGTAGAATTGAATCAGTGGAAACGTAAACTTGAAGACAAATCTTTCAATATTCATCTGCTAGAGGATTTTTGGTGTGGCACTTGTAGTACCGGAATGCGAACCACAAGGTCAGCAGTTCAGACCCACTAGCTGCTCCTCGGAAATCCTACACAGGGTGGCTGTAAGCCAGAATGGACTCAATGGCACTTAACAATAACAAGAGAAGAATAATTAGAAAAAAGAAGAAGAAAATCAGTACAAAGCCTAAGAACTATGTGGGACACCATCAAGAGGAAAAACCTACCTATGATTGGAATCCTAGAGCAGGAAGAGACCAAAAAAAACAAACAAACAAACAAAAAGTCAACAAGTTGTTGGGGAAAAACTTTCCTAACATTATGGAAGATGAGAAGTATTCAGAAGCTGAGCAAACTCCAAACAGGACAGACCCCAAAAGAAAATCATCAAGACATGATTAATCAAATTCTTCAAAATTAAAGACAAGGAAAGAATCTTGAGAGCAGATTGCTGGGGAGAACTAATAAGACTAAGGTCTGATTTCTCAGGCAAGAAGACAGTGGGACGACATATATAAAACAAAAGCCATCCAAGAACCATATCTCCAGCAAAAATGTCCATCAAATATGATGGTGAAATGAGGTAGGTTATTTACAAAGATACAGAAATTAACATAGTTTGTAAAAACCAGATCAACTTTACAAAAAATACTAAAGGAATTCTTTGGACACAGAACCAACAAAGGCAGACAACAACCAGAGACTTAACATACATAACACCACTGAGAACTCAACCCAGATACAGAAGTACTCAAAAGTAAAACAAACATACACACAAGGGAGGAAACAGGGAACCAGAGTTAGCAGTTTACAACAACAAAAACTCAAAATTAGAAAGAGGGACTCGAGCAGTTACAGAACTTCCAAATGAAGAGATCAAATAAATAAACCTCACTGTGACCCCCGAGCTAGATCAAGTCTTACTCCTAGCCCTAACCTAGGCCTAACCATAACCCTTAAAAAATACGCCAATCTCTTTAACCTGAAATTGCTCTACAAAATAAAGTCTGCTAAAAGGAAACATATACAAAGCACAAAACCTGCAGCGCCCCACACCGTGTCAACTCCTTCACCTCTGTCCTGACCCCGTGTGCACTTATAAGGTGGGAAATAGATTCAGCAGTCAAGGGCAGAGGCATTAGTTTTTCCAAGTAACAGCAGCTGGGGAAAGAGCGCTGGGATGATTTGTCCCTACCTCACAGTCATGTGCCCACACAATTACGTTTTCAAATGTTGTCAGCTGAAATAATGCGGAGACAACAAAGGGGTGGATGTATTTCCGCCCCGCACACCTGCATTTGGTAGCCAGCCGACTCTCCACCGTGATGGCGCTGAGCACCAGGAGGCAAGCAGAGGCACCCCGCAGCACCCAGCACTCCGCAAGCCCTAGGAGCCCCTCCCGGGTCCACCCCCACCGGCCAAGGCGCTTGGTTACCGGGAAAATCACACTTGTAGGGTCTCTCCGGCTCGAAATGGCTGCGCTGATGGGAACTGAGCTTGGCGTGCGTGGGGAAGCGCTCGGCGCACACCTCGCACTTGAACAAGTTCTCCTGTTCGTGCCCCTTCATGTGCGCCTTGAGGTTGTAGATGGTGGTGAACTTCTTGCCGCAGGCGTCCACCGGACAGCTGAAGGGCCGCAGCTTGTCGTGTGACTGCAGGTGCCGCTTGAGCTTGTAGGAGGTGGTGAAGGCCCAGCCGCAGCCGTCCAGCGGGCACTTGAAGGGTCGCCGGCCCTGGCTGCCCCCGTGCGTCAGCAGGTGCACCTTGAGCTGGTGCTTCCTGGCAAAGGCTTGGGAGCACTGCGGCTCCGGGCAGCTGTAGCCTGGCGCGCCCGATCTCCCGCGGCGGCCCTCGGCTGCATTCAAGGTGTCCAGACTCGATGCCCCGATAGGGGCGCCGGGCGGAGTAGGCGGGCTCCCGGGAGGCGGTGGTGGCGAGGCCAGCGTGAAGACGCCGTTGTCAAGGCGCACCAGCAGGTCCTGACCTGCGACGGAAACAGCGCCCGCCAAGGCCGAGGCTGGGCTGGGGGTGGTGGCCAGGCCGCTGGGGCCCTGCCCGGAGCGGCCTGCAGGACCCACGCTGCGCCCGCCCCGCGCCTTCTCAGGAGCCTCGGGGGCACCGCGCGCCACCTCCAGCAGCACCACGAAGGAGCCATCGCCGGCGGACTCCTCCGGTGCCGGCGGGTTCAACTCCGGGCCCGCCGGGGCCTGCTCGCGCCGCAGCCCACACCCGCCATCTTCCGGGCCGCACAGCAACAGCAGCCGGCGGCGTGAGGGACCCGGGCTGAGCCGACGAAACCAGCCAGGGGTAGGGCCGGGGCCGCTGTGCGAGCCTCCACGCGAAACCCGGGCAGCTGGCAGCCCCCGGGTATCCATCTTCGGGCCCCTCTAGCGGCGATGGACTCCAGAGCTGGCACGGAAGCGTGAGGCTGCTCCTCCCAGGATGTGCGGAAGATCCTCGAGGTTGGCGCCAAAGCCCGGTATGGAATCCAAGCCTGACCGGAGAGTTGAGCATGCGCGTCAGCCCAGGGCACGGAGCGCGAGGTCTGTTGGATGTGAGCTTCCTTTCTTCCCTGCATTGGGAAGGAAGCCAGTGTGATTTTATATTTCCAGCCCAGTAAGGAGCTCTGGTAGCGTAGCGGTTACGAATCGGGCTGTGAACCACAAGGTCAGCAGCGGTTCCGCGGGAGAAAGATGAGGCGTTCTGCTCCCGTAAAGATTTACAGCCTCGGAAACCCTGTGCAGGGTCGATATGAGTCGGAACCGACTCCACGGCACTTAACAACAACAACAAGGAGCTCTGTAGTGGTTACGAGTAGGGCTGCCAACCTCAAGATCAGCAGTTCGAAACCACCAGCGGTTCCGCGGGAGAAAGATGAGGTGGTCTGCTCCCGTAAAGATTTACAGCCTCGGAAACCCTGTACAAGGTCACTATGAGTCGGAACCGACTCCACAGCACGTAAAAACAAGTACAGACTGTAACAAATGCAGACTGTGGTAGCGTAGTGGTTACGAGTCGGTCTTCTAATCTCCAGGTCAGCAGTTCAAAACTACCAGTGGAACTGGGAGAGAAAGCCTCATCTTACTGCTCCGTAAAGGTTTACAGCCTCCGAATACAGGCTCACTAAGAGTCTGAACATGATTCTAGTGCACATAACAGCCAACATCTCTTAAGCGTTTACTAAACCAATCTTCAAGAAGCTCTGGTAGCGTAGTGGTTACGAATCGGGCTGCGAACTGGAAGGTCAGCAGTTCGAAACTACCAGATGTTCCGCAGGAGCAAGATGAGGCTTTCTGCTCCCGTCAAGATTTAAAGCCTTCCTAACCCTGTACAGGGACGCTATGTGGGCACACAACAACAAAAGTCTGAACTGATTTCACTGCACATAACAGTCAACATCTCTTAAGCGTTTACTAAACCAATCTTTACCCTCACATAAACGTTTAGAGATGGAGAAACTGAGCTACCCAGAGATTGAGTACTCAAAGTCACCCAGCCAGGAATAGTTAGGATTAGAACAGAGTAACCACTATCTGCAACCATCTCCAGGTAGCCCACTAATCGCAAACTAACATACCTCACCTCGTAGAACCCAGGACCTCCCTGATCAGACCACTGTCTACATTTCTAAATAACTCCCACTAAGTTTCACACAGCCTCACACAGCAACGAGCTGAATTACTTATTGCTACTTGAATTCAGTTGTTCCTCTGCCTCCCCCACACCGACACTTTCAGATTGAAGCTAGAGCCCCTCCACTTCCTTACATCATCCCTAGCGCCAATATACAACAAATAACATTTTGTAACAAATCTTCAGTCTCCTTTACACCCCACTCCCTTATACACAATATAGTCTATACAGGGTAGGCTTTTATGCAAAACTAATTATGTGCACACCCCCTTAAGGATCACTCCCTGTTGTTATTGTTTTGAGGAGGCACACAGTGGGTTCCTACTCACAGCAATTTTTCTGGACAACAGATCAAAACACTGCCTGGTCCTGCACCATCCTTGTAATTGTTCCTTGTTTTCATTGACCCCACACTTTTCCAAGCTTGATATACTTCTCTAGGGACTGGCCTCTCCTGATAAATAATGTCAAAAGAATGAGAGACAAAGTCTCCCCATCCAGGCTTCTAAGGAGCACTCTGGCTGCACTTCTTTCAACATAGGTTTGTTTGTTCTTATTGGCAGTTCATGGTACTTTCAAGATTTTGACAAAACGAAAACTCAAATCCATCAGGTCTTCTCCGGTCTTCCTTATTCACTATCCAATTTCCACATGCGTATGAGACTACTGAATGATGCAGAGAGCATCCAAAGAAGATGAAAGGAATACACAGAGTCACGGTACCAAAAAGAAAAGGTCAATGTTCAGTCATTTCAAGAGATACCATTATGCCAGCAGTGTGGGGAGACCTGGGGACTCCTGGGCCCAGAGTCAGCAGCGTGGCCACAGAGGACTAGAGTGGAGAGTGAAGCTACCAGCTGATAGGAAGAGAGGGCATACGCACAAGAACACCCACACTTGCAGATGGTACCCACGTGACCTGGCCCTGATGAA